TCAAAAAGTTGAAACACTTGGAAGTTAAACCAAACGGACCCTTAATTTCAATGCTTTCCTTCTCCGCTTAGTAGATTCAAATATAAGAGGCCATCTCCACTTGTTTTCTCTCACTGCCTTCCTGGTCTTCATTGCCGCCTCACATATCTTCCAACTGATGAGATTCACCTTCAAATGGCTTCACCATTGGTTTGGTCCCCTTTTCCGTTCCCCAACATACTTTTCAGCCTTTAATTTTCTGTACTACTACAATTTAGTACCACTTATCATCTAAACTTGAATTACTTTCTGCAGATTGCGTCATGTTGGTAAAATCCACTACATATTTTGGTGTCTGCATTTTGTCTCTCAAACCTTGTAATTAAGGAAGCCCATGTTCTAAACCTACTGGTATATATTTTTCAATCGCTGTGTGTTTGTGTGTTTTTTTTTTTTTTTCCACCTTGATTTTTTCTTCTCTCAAAAGCTTGATTTTAATTTATGCTTTGCTAACTTCATCACTAAATTATTAGAGCTTAGTATATAATGCATTCTTTTTCTTTGAATTATACTCTTTCTCCCTAGTCTCCTCCAAAGTATTAGGTTTTAGGGTGTTTTTCTTTTCTGATTTTTAATGTTGTTATATCTTCTTTGAAAATCTCTGAAGCCACCAGAATATACGTATCCGACCAATTTGTGGAGAAGTCTTTTGCTAGATTCTCCTCATTAAAGTCATTCTTAATCGTTTGAAGAAAACTATAATTTTTGTCTTCTTTAAATTAACTATTTTATAATTTATTTTTATCTCATTTTTTGAATTGCATATGACAATATTTCCATTTTTTTAGTTGATAGTGTATCTACTTCTATTTATTTCAAGGTCAGATCAGTAATAGCAAGCATATTTAGTATTTAATAATGTACCACATAAATGGGTTATGTTTGATTTTATGAAATTCTTTGATGCATTTTATTATATAAATAAATCTGTATATTATATCTTTGATGCATTAATTTTTTCAGTTGATAATATCTCTTTAAGTTTGACTTGATAATCAAATTCTCCATTTTTTTCTCATTATCCGTTAGAAATCAAAGACTTTTTGGATATTTTTAGCCTAAAATTTCTTTAGGATGCAAGTCATTCCTTAAGTCAACCCTTGTTTCCTTTATTTCTCATCTTTTAGTTTGAAAATGAAATGGAATTCATATAAATAAATTCGCGTATGAATTTAGTTCTCTTATTTGACAAATTTTTAGTCTCTTTGCTATAAATATAAACTAAAGCAGAATTAATTTCATTTCTCATCTGCAGATTGTATCATTTTTGGTTTTTCTAGTCCATATTCTGCAACTTGCATTCTCAACCTTCTTCAAAAACTCTCAAATTGGTCTAGAAACAATAGTTCCATGCCAGAAGGTATAATTTTTTTTTTAACCCTTGTATATTTTCTTCACATTCATATATATATATATATATATATATATATAAGGATGTATTTACATACAAGTCTTATATATTATACATATATAAAATTTCAATTATTCATATTTCCACTTTCAATTGTTGAGATTTGTTCATATTTTATTAAAGAGAAGTACATTTTTATCTAAAAAGTCATGATAAATCTCAATTATTGAAAGTGTTGAGATGAATTGTTAAAATTTTGTTTAAGTGTATTATGTTAAATTTATACGTTACTAGATTTCTACTTTATATATGAGAATAGTGCAGAGTTGGTTGTCCTCCTAAAATATCTTTCGAAAGACCTATCAAAAAATTCACATTCTAATTAATATTTTTAAAAACTGATTGTTGGATTAAAAGTTTTTTTTATGTACATTATGCATATCAATTTTTATATTAATGTAACACTTATAACTATTTGACCAAAGAAACTCTATTTTTAACATATATTTAATAATGCTAAATTTCTTATAATCAATGAAATAGTTAAATCTATTAGAATGATTTCAAAATTAGTATGCATGATTTATATAAATAAAACTTTTAATTTAATAGTTGATTTTAAAAATATTAATTAGAAAATGAATTTTTAGACAAGTCTTCTAAACAAAAATTTAGAAGGACAACCTACAAAACACTTTTCTATATATATATAGATATATATATTAGTGTTTATCAACCAAATTTCAAAAAAATTGAGAGGAAAAACACTTCAAACTACATTATTTTATTGAAGCACCACAAGACAACCAAAGCAAACTCTTCCTAATTTAAAAATAGGTTATTTTAGTTTTTTTGAATTGGAATTTATTGAAACGACGCAATTTTGGTCTTTTTTCTTTAAAATTTTTTAAAAATTCAATTGACAAACACTTTTTTCATATATATTATTTACTTTCAATTTTCTCTGGACTTATACTCTCCCTCTCCTCAAATGGATTAGATCAATCTTCTACTTTTTTAACTAATTTGTTACATTTTGGTTTCTATTTTACTTGTAAAGAAAATCGTTGAAGAAGATAGGAAGTATACTGAAGCTTGCAGTCTGTGAAGAAGCCTTCCGCCAAGTACATCCTTTTTTCATCATTTGGAGAAAGCACTAGACATTTAAGCAAGGTGCACTTTTTTTCTTTTATTAACTGTTGTCTCATTCTTTGAATTTGCATGTTACGTTAACAATATATTCCCTCTATTTAGTTTTAATAGATCTAAGTTTTAATATGAGGCATTAGATTTTATTATTTA